TAGGCGTAGTTGTCGTCGTCGTAGTAACCGTCGTAGTAGTAGTAGTAGTCGTCGTCGTCGTCGTCGTCGTCGTAGTAGTAGTAGTGGTAGTAGTAGTAGTAGTAGTAGTAGTAGTCGTCGTCGTCGTCGTCGTCGTAGTAGTCGTAGTAGTAGTAGTAGTAGTAGCAGTAGTAGTAGTAGTAGTAGTAGCAGTAGCAGTAGTAGAAGTATAAGTAGCAGTACTAATAGGTGGCGGTAGTAGTAGTAGTAGTCGTAGTGGTAGTAGTAATCGTTGGAATAGTAAAAGTAGTAGTAGTAATAATAATCGTAGTCGTAGTTGTAGTCGGAGAAGTAACAGTAGTAGTGGTAGTAGTAGCAGTAGCAGTAGTAGCAGTAGCAGTAGTAGTAGTAGTAGTAGTAGTAGTAGTAGTAGTAGTAGTAGTCGTAGTAGTAGTAGTAGTAGTAGTAGTAGTAGTAGTCGTAGTCGTAGTAGTAGTAGTAGTAGTAGTAGTAGTAATAGTAGTAGTAGTAATATTATTATTAGTAGTAGTAGTAGTAGTAGTAGTAATATAATTAGTAGTAGTAGTAGTAGTAGTAGTAGTAGTAGTAGTAGTAGTCATCATAATAATAGTCGTCGTAGTCGTAGTCGTAGTCGTAGTCGTAGGCGTAGCAGGACGGAGGGCCTGAAGGAGGAGGCGGGCGAGAAAGAGGCAAGATGGGGGAGGGAGGGGCAAGGATGACTGAAGGCGAGGAAAAAGAGTAGGAGGAGGGCTTCCTTCTTTCATGTTCCCCTGCTCTGCCCTCTCTCTTTCCTTCCCTCCCCTCTCTTGTGGGAAGGGTCTGTGTGTGTTTGTGTGTTATGCGTGTGTTGCGCGCGTGCGCGCTTGGAGGGACGGGGGGGCGCTTGGCAGAGCGATCCGCTGCTGCTGCGATGGCGCGCCTGTAACAGGAGGAGGTGGCGGAGAAAGAATGGCCTTGGGGAGGAAGACGGCATGGATGCTCTACTCATCTCTCTCATTGTCACTGATTCGCCCTTCTAATGTCTGAATGCTGCTCGGTCAGGCCTGCCTCTCTGCCCTGCCGCTTGCATTTTAAGGACGCAAGGTTCATCGAACCTTGTGTCTGACCAACGTCAAAAGTAGGAGGAGGGAGGGCAGACAAGAGGAAGCGGAGGAGGAGGCGGAAATATCGGTACGAATCGGCCCGGCGGAGTCGGAAAGTGTTCTCTCTGCATGGCCCCCACGAAACTGAACAAGACGCCCCAGAGGCCTCCAAAACGCCCCCGGGGAGCCTCGAGAGACTCCTATGAGCCCCCCCCTGAAGGCCTACAAGAAGCCCCGAAACAGATGTCCGGCATCTCAGGATGCCCCGAGAGGCTCCCAAGAGGCCTCGCATTCAAGAGCCAGGCACCAACATGGGCCGTGGTGGGTTGGGCCGAGGGCCATTAGAAAAGGCGAAGCGAAACGGCCACTGACAAGCCGGGGGCACGAACTGGCCGATCGCCGCAAGACCTCGGGCCTCCGACAAGCTCAGGGAGCCGGACAACCCAGCTACATGATCAATCAGCATCGAGCCAGAGCATTTGACCGAAGCGGCACGTGCGTCCGCTCGGGCTGCATCTGCGCGGAATCGGCATCGAATCATATCGGCTGCGCCAGGACGCACTACAGCGCCATGCAACCATCGGGCCGCATCACATCCCCAGAACCTCGGAATCTGATCGGATCGCTTTGCTGAAGCGTTCAGGGGCTGCAGTGTTTTCAACGTTGTAGGACATGCTCTGAAAAACTGGGAAAATCTGCATGAAAATGAGCCTTCGACGGTCCGATCGGGTGTCTCAGATCTGCGTTGCTGGACACCTCTCCCTGGCGCGCGGAGCGCGTCAGGGCGGCGCCGGAGGTGCCGCCAGGGGCGCCCAAGCGCCGTCCCAAGAAGTCCGCGCGGACCGTCGAAAGTTGATGCTTGTGCCATTTTCTCGCGAAGCACCAGCCAGAAGTGACTCGTCGCAAGCTGCCTGCATCGTCTCAGGCGGAAATGTGCTGCCCCCAAGGCAGGTAAACAACAGGAGCACAAAAACTAGTCACGGACTTTGAGCCTGGCGCAATTTTCCGCCAGTGCTCAGGAACTTAGGACAACGCTCTCCCGACAAAGTGTGGCTATTTTCCCGCCCGGGGGAGTGCAGAGAGGCGGATGGAGGAGGAAGCAAGAAAAAGAGGAGGAAAGAGAAACCAGATGGCGAAGTTTACAAATTAGCCCTGAAACGTATTGAGCCCCTATTGAACGGCCTCGACGGCCAAGGCTGCAACGTTTTCCATATGTTCGCGCGTGCTCTGAATCAAAGAGGGCAAGAGGGCAAGACCGGGCGCCCCAGCGCCTGGGAGCCAATAAACGCTACCTGCCAGAGGCCCCTCGAAGCGAACTTGCGCATCAAACATCGCAAAGGATGGGCATTACACCTGCAGAGCAGGCTCGCGCAAGCCGTGGACAGCCAGAGCGCGGCCCCAGAAGGGAAGTGTTAAAAAGCCTCCCAAATCGGGTCCGAAGGGACTGGGTCGGAAGATCGCGCTGCATCGCCGATAGATCGCGGATGCACCGCCGATGCATCGGCAACGTCCGCGATGCATCGCATCGGCGACGCCGGCGTGCAGACAATCGGGCTCCACATGGAGCCGCATCGCCGATGCATCGGCGATGTGGCGCGACCCTCCAATCCCATCTACTCGGACCCCATCTGAGAGGCCTAGAGATGTACGAGTACCAGTAGTTATACGAATCTGGGAGGGCCCAAGGGTATCCCGAGGACGACGCACCCCCAGTGAGGCAGGCAAGCCCAGAATCTAATCGATCAGTCAGATCGGCGATCGAAATGTATCGGATCGGCGGAGATCGGCAGGCTGGTACGGCCTCCGCTGACAAACCGAAATCAAAATCGGAATCCGAAGCCGAATCGGATCGGGATCGGAACCTATCGAAATCGAATCCGATGGAGTCGGAGGAATCAAAAGTGAGCCCCGCAATGAGGTGCCGCAACAGCCACGGCTCCAGCCAAGGGGTGCGCCAAGACCCGGCCTCTGGGCGCCCGGAGGTGAGCCCTGCCGCCCCCTTTCCAGGGTGCGCCTGTTAACTGGGGTGAACTTGGCCTCCCCTGGCAGAAGATGCAGCAGAAACTTTTCTCGGTCTGTGCAGATTTCTTGGATCTGCGCTGACCCCCCCTCCCTGGCGCGCAGAGCGCGTCAGTGGCGGCGCCAGAGGCGTCGCCAGGGGGCCCAGCGCAGATCCAAGAAATCCGCATGGACCGTCCAAAGTGCATGGTTGTGCAGTTGTTTTGTCTTCGATGCTTAAGAAAAATTCGGGCAGCCGCCAATGTCGAACAATAATGCGAACCTTCGCCCTCCAGGTCAGGTGTCTGAAACGCCAGCTGGAGTTCAGAATTCATCCCTGACGCCGAAGGTCGCAATTACTCGCAGAACAATTGGCACTTCCAATGTGCACCTGCAAGATGGCGGCCCGGCATCGCGCGGGGCGGCCACACTGTGCTCTCTCTTTCCTTCTCTCTCTCTCTCTCTCTCGCTATCTCTCTCTCTCGCTCTCTCTCTCCCTCTCTCTCGCTCTCTCTCTCTCTCTCTCTCTGCGCGCCGCGCCTGCTTCGGAAAAGTGGCGCAACCCTCATGGGAACTGCCCGCGAAACTGGGGGGCCTTCTTGGCAGACCCACCACCGAGCGAGCCCAGGGAGCCCTCGACTGGCTACCTCAGGAGGCAACTCCTGGGACGTCTTCGTCAGAGCGAAGGGCTGTGAAGCCCGATTAGGGGGGCATTGAGCCAGAATAGGCCGGATGAAGGCTGGGATTAAGCCGGATCAAGCAAGCGGTATCAAATCAGGTCAGATCAAGCGGGATCGAGCCAGGTTGGACCGGTCTTGGACCAGAGATATACGAGCGACGATCCTGAATTGAACCTCCCAGGAGTTGCATCATAAGGAAGGGGGGGCCAGTGCAAGAGGGTAGGGGGGAACTAGTCAGCTCACGCACCTGGTTTTGGTGCCGCTCCCTGGACCCCGGAGGCGCCCATGCATCGAGAAGAGCGCCTGGCGGCGGGGCCGCTGGGTCAGCCTTCCTGGGAGCCTCTGTGGACCTCCGCGGCCCTATCATAAACGTACTCTCGACCGGATTCCGACCACCGCTCTTCACCTTGTCATCCAAATTTCGTCGAGACGTCGTCCAAATCCGACGAAATCAGGACGAAGTCCTCCAAACCGCAAGGAATTGTGGGACCCTCTGAGGCTCTCATGAGTGACCACGCAAGGGCGGAGACCAGCTGCACGCAGAAGATTTTGTAGCCTCCCCTTTTCCAATTCCCCGCCGCCGCCGCCGTCGTCGTCGTATTCGTCGTCGCCGTCGCCGTCGCCGTCGCCGTCGTCGTCGTCGTAGTAGTCGTCTCCGTCGTCGTCATCGTCGTCGTCGTCCCCCATTCGTTCGTCCGACCCGAGCTGTGCCCCCCCCCCGCGTCGGAAGAAGAGGCCCTCTCGGCCCGCTGCACCGCGCGAGGGCTCTCCTTGGAGCCACCAGCTTGGCCAAGGAGCCAACTCTCGGGAGGTCTTCGTCAGAACGGTTAGAAGCTACAGAGCCCGCTCCCAGAAGATCGAACAATGACAGAAGCATGAACTTTCGGAGGTCCGCAGAATTGTCAGTCGGTGCTGGAGCCCCTCCCTGGCGCGCGGAGCGCGGCGAGGGCGGTGCCGGAGGCGTCGCCAGGGGGCTCCAGCAGCACTGAGATTAAGGGGCCATTGAACTGGATTACGCAAAATTGAGCCCAAAATTAAGCTCAGTTGATCCGGAGTAGGCAGGATTGAACGGGATTGCGCAGTTGGTGCCGCACCAAGCCTGTTTCTGCCCACGGATGTATCAGTGCCGATGCTGAGTTTAACCTCCCGAGATTTGCATCCTAACGTGCTGTCTGTACTCCCTTCAGGCCCCGCTCCAGCGCGGTACGAAGCGTTGTTTTGGTCGCCGCTTGGGGCTGAA